AATACCCTTCAAATCATTTCATTCGCATTAATCATTCATTCAGTGGGTGAGTATAAAGAACATTTATTAATCATTGGCATTAAGCAAGTTCATAAATCAAGAACATGAATACTTATTTACCATTACTATTATGCAATACCCTTCAAATCATTCATTCAGTGTGTGAGTATAAATAACATTATAATCATTGGAATTAAAAATAGCAAAGCAAGTTCACAATCAAGAACATAAATACTTATTTACCATTACTATTATGTGATAACTATTATGTAATACCCTTCAAATCATTTCATTCGCATTAATTTAGTCAGTGAGTATAAAGAACTTTATTAATCATTGGAATTAAAAAATCAAGAACATAAATACTTATTTACTATACTTTATATAATACCCTTCAATTCATTTCGTTCACATTAATCATTCATTCAGTCGGTGAGTATAAAAACATTTATTAGTCATTGGAATTAAAAACAGCAAAGCAAGTTCACAAATCTAGAACATAAATTCTTATTTACCATTACTATTATGTAATACTTCAAATAATTTCATTCGCATTAATTTAGTCGGTAAGTAAAAAATCGTTTACATTCGAGATAAGGTTTTAAATAGCATGGCAGATGAAATAATAAAATAAATATATTATGTATTGTGATTATGAAGCCGCTCTGAATATGGAAAATGTGCATTTTGTACTGAAGATAACACACGACCAGCATGGTGTCTATCATGCGACCCTGACATAGAAACAGCAAGGTGGACAAGTAGAAGTAAGGATATTGACGATTGCATAAAAAAGTTCCAACTTAGAGCCTTAGCATACGATGATGCAATCGAATGGATTCCATATGACAAATTAATTAATACAGAAAAAATAGGCGAAGGAGGATTCGGCTCGGTATATTCAGCAACCTGGTTGGATGGTATACGAAAAATCGACGGCGATTATTTTAATTATGGAAGATCACGTGAAGCATCCAGCACCGTTGCTATCAAGACTTTGTCTGGTTCTTTAAAAGAAGTAAGTCAAATCTGTTTATTCAATAACTTATTAAATAAATATTGAACTAATTTATTGAATTCATTTGATTTATTTACTCAATTACAAAGTTTGAGGATCATGTAACATGTGGCTTATGGGGTAGTAAACTTAAAATATATGGATTAACTCAAAACATCGAAAATGAATACTTGATGGTATTTCAATACGCTGATAATGGAAGTCTTCACAAGTTATTAAGAAAAAAATTTCGTGATCTTACCTGGAAAATTAAATTGAAACTACTCCGCGATATTCTAAGTGATTTATATCAAATTCACAGAGCAGGATATGTTCACGCAGACTTTCATAGTGGTAATATTTTACAAAATGAAGGCATTAGTAAAAACATGCAGTCTTATATCGCAGATCTAGGATTGTCTAAAAAGGAAACCGAAAATGATTCAAAAGGTGAAATCTATGGTGTTGTGCCTTATGTTGCTCCTGAGGTTTTATTAGGTCAAAGGCTCACGAAAGCTGCCGATATTTACGGCTTCGGTGTCATCATGTCAGAGATGTCAACTGGTCTAAGACCTTTTGATGGTCATGAGTTTAATATTGGTCTTTCAATAAAAATTTGCAAAGGATTGCGGCCAGAATTTGCACCTGGAACTCCAGATTGCTATATTGAGTTGGCTAAACAATGCATGGATGCTGATCCACAAAAACGGCCTGGTGCTTGGGATGTCTGTAGGAAACTTCATGGATGGTGTAATATCATGCAAAGTTCAGATGAAGCAAATGATTCAGACGAAGAAAGTTCAGTTGAAGCAAATGATTCAGATGAAGTAAATGATTCAGACGAAGAAAATTCAGATGAAGCAAATGATTCAGACGAAGAAAATTCAGTTGAAGCAAATGATTCAGATTTAGATGATGTTAAAATTAAAAAGCAATTCTTAGAAGCAGATAAAGTAGCCAAAGAATTGCCAATTTTTTTATCAAAACATCCAGACTTTATGTATACTAGCAAAATTATCTATACGCAAAAAATATCAGATGCAATTAATGGTAATTTTATAAAATTATATTAATTTAGTTATTTGATTAAAGTTAATTAATTATAATTATATTAGCAGCTTTAACAAGTCAACATATTGATTCTGTTTAACAAGTCAACATATTGATTCTGTTGAAATTCCTATTGGTACGTATTGTTATACTTACTGCATTTATAATTACAATTTATTACTTACTTTATATTGGCATTTAGATTAATTGCTTTAAGGGTATAAAGTTTATTTATTGATATATAATTTTAATGTACTGTATAATCTCAATTTTTGGCTAAAGGCTATTAAAATAAAAATATACAATAAAAAAAACATATTTAAATTTGAAAAAAATGCTAGTTAAAATTCTTTGCATATTTTCATGAAGATTTAAAATTTATAAATTTAATTATTTTGTTTTAAATCTGTACAATTGCCATTTAAGATGTCTAAACTCTCGTTATATCTATATTAGTGGTATATTGGGCATCTAGTCAAATTATTAGATAATTGTTAATGATGATTATAGAATAACAACGAGTAAGTACTATTAATATCGGTTTTTAAAGTTTTACTCAAATATTAAGACACATCATTATGTACACAAGAAATGTTCTTAATACTTTATAATCTCTATAAAGAAGTAGTATTAAATTTATTATTGTGAGATAATAAGTTTTATTTATTCTATTAATAAAACACAATTCCTTTTTGCATTTTCATATATTTTCATTAAATATTACAAATAATATTAAAATTTGAGAATTTTAATTTGAAAATATAAACTCTAACAAAATCTATATATATTTTTTTGCTAACAACATTAGTCTAAATTCTAATTTCAATTTTTTAAAAAAAAACTAAAAAAATGTATTCAATAATTTTAAATTTCAATATCATTTACTATATTAAATACCAATAATTACTAATTATCAAAATTATCTATTATGTTAATATTACTAAAACATTGTATTACTTAAAATTATTTTGCAAAAAAAAGAAATATATTAGTAAAAATCAAAAAAAAGTAAAATAAAATATCATTTTAAAAGTAAAAATAATAAAAACATAGAAAAGAATAAATCTATTATCTAATATATTGTTTATAAACTGCAAACAACATCTTAAATTACAAATAATATCTTAAGAAAACTATATATATATATATATATATATATATATATATTATATTATATAGTTTAAATAAATTACAAATCAAATAGAAAGTTTTAAATATTGGTTATCAAGCATAATACACCAACCTGATATATTTGAATTAAAATATAATTATACAAACTTTACATATATTTTTTTTTTTTTTTTTTTTTTAAGGTGACCTCTTTGGTCTTTTGACTTTTATTAATTACTTATCGGTATTGTGGTT